AATGGCCACGGATCCTGTTCGTCACCCGATCCCGCGTTCGCGAACGGAGGCAAAATTTTGCGAACGGAGCTGTTCGTGACCTGAACTGGTCTTGAACAGAAGCGTTCATGACCCGAGGTACCACTGTATTTAAAAATTTCAGGCATCTGAATAAATAAGCCCATCCTAAAGCATTATGGATACCGACTAAACCTCAACTTGTTTGAGTCTCTCCAGATTTAAGGAGAAGTTTGATCCTCTGAATATATAGCCATTCATGACATTGGAGAGGTGCTATTTAAATCCAGTATAAATGTCATATAGTAGCTCCCAAGAAGGGATTCTAAGATGTTGAGCAATAAATCTGAATATTCTTGAGTGGAAGTCCCAAAGAGTTTAAATACTTTATCCGTCCCCAAAGAGTTGAAATGCTGAAATTGATCAGCAACTCTGCCAGGTTTGGCTGCTGCATCTGGCTGATGGGTCCCAAGCTAAGTATGCAGAAAGTTGCTTTCTTTTCTGTCTGTGGCAATGGAGGCTTTGCTGGGACACCCAGTGGATAAGGGGGAAAAAGGAGGGGGCATCAGGCAGGGACATTGGTCAGACTTGGGGATCCTAGGCAAAGGATCATCTTTAAAAAATGGAAACTTTTAAGTCCCCCCAGATTGGCTCGTATTTTGGGGCTGCCCTGTGTGCTGTGGACTTGGACAGAGACAGCAACACTGACTTGGTCCTCATTGGAGCACCGATGTATTATGATGGCACTGCAGGAGGAAGGGTCTATGTTTGCCAAAGGCAGGTAGGTAAAAAACTGGGCTGGGGGCTGGGCTGGGCTGGATTGTCTGCTCAGTAATTCTATATGTGTTGCATTCAGAGCCTTGGGACCTTAAAGAATAATATAAGCTAGACTTACATCAACTTTAAAAAACATTCATTCATTCATTCATTCATTCATTCATTCATTCATTCATTCATTCATTCATTCATTGTGCTTTCCTTACAAGCAGCTAGGCTGAGCCTAGTTATACTATAAATCCTGAGACAATGTACCAATGTTTAGCCCAAGGTCATTTCAAAATACTAGCCTGAATTGAGAAACAGGACTGTCACAGATGTTGGAAAGTCAAAAGGAGTTGAGAGAGGATTGTGGACATGAACTGAATGATCGGACAGTCCAGCTGTGTGGCGATGTCCCATAGTCCTGGATATTTTGTGTTTCTGGCTGTGTGGGAAGCTAATAATACGGACTGAGAACCAGGCAAGATTAAGACCTCACAGCACAAGCTGAGTTCTGCTAGGCATTGCAGGTGGGAGAGCAGGAGTGGCTGCAAGATGTGGTCAAAAAAGTCAAGATGGCAGCTGCAACAATGCAAAAGAATCTCCACTGATCGTTTGTGCATATTGCAAAGCTTCAATTGCACCATTGCAGCCACCACCTTGACTTTTTTGACCACACCCTGGGGGAGATGAACAGAAATACAAGCTGGGCTGTTATTTTCAATTATGCATTTCCCCCAATTTGGCAGCCGGGAAAGGAGAACTGTGAGACTTGGCAAGGCTAAGGCAGCACAGAATGGGGAAGAACTGATTGGGCGCCCGCCAGCAAGAGGACCAGATAATGTCAGCGGGAGCCATGATGCGTTCTTTTGTCAGGGGGCCAGTTTTCAAAGTGAAGAGGGGAGAGGACTAGCCAAAGTCAGGATGCCCATGTTCAGTGAAGCGAGCAGGCTACCATTATGTGCCTGGTTTCCTCCAGGCACAGTGGCTTCAAGAGAGCATGCTTTCAACACCGTTCTTGTGTCTCTCCCCCCACCCTGTTTCCCAGGGAGAAACATTTTTCTGTGGCAAGGAATTGCAAGGGGAGCCCCATCACCCCTTGGGCCGCTTTGGAACCAGCATAGCAGAGGCAGGGGAGATAACTGGGGATCAGTGGACGGATGTAGCGGTTGGGGCACCAATGGAGGATGAGAATCAAGGAGCTGTGTACATCTTCAAGGGGAAGAGAAGATCTGTCAACCAAGCGTTCAGCCAGGTGAGTCTTCAGCTGCCTCTCTCTTTCATCCCTCTGCCTCTCCATCTTCTTACGCCGTTTCTCTTCTCCACAGCGCATCAGAGCTTCTCTCCTTGCCACCAGGCTGCAGTACTTCGGCCAGGCTCTTGACGGGGGGTCAGATCTTTCAGGAGATGGGCTCCCCGATGTGACTGCTGGGGCTGAGGGACAAGTGCTGCTCCTAAGGTAAGCCTGGTTTTTACAGGGTTTCGTTTAAAGCAGTGTTGTCCAAACTTGGCCACTTTAAGATGAGTGGACTTCAACTCCCAGAATTCTGGCTGGCTGGGGAATT